AAACATGTACTTTCACATCGTCAGTAGTGCTTCTGGTGACCGTTGTGTGTGAAATGGGAGTGGTGGTCCTTTAAAGCTCTGTTTTGTTAAATAATTCTTCGTTGGCTGAAGTTCTAACTCTTCAGCTCAAGATAATGGCCGCCACAGTTACGGATGGTATTTAGTGTTTTTGGTTTGCAGACACAGGAGAATGTAGCAGCTGCTCAGCCACACGTTTCGTTTTCAGTAATTCTGAGCTCGGTCTGATAGAAACGGCGAAAAGTCCAATTTTTGAGCCAAAACTTTACTATAGCGTTATAAGCATTAGCGTTAGTGTCTCTCCCATTCCAGTTACTCCACCTACTAGAGCTCTGCTGTGTCTCCTGTGGACGCCAGTGGATGCATCGATCATGTCATTGATCCAGAACCTGTAATATTGGACACGTAGATCTAATGACCTGATTATGGGGAAGAAAACTGAAGCTGCCATGAAAAGGTCCATGTTTGAGCTCCTCTTGACAATAAAACTGACAAAGCAGAAGTCAACCAGTGATGTTTTCTGAACCACATGTAGCTGCAGGTCACAACAATACAAAACTGAACACGTAGAAAGCTTTTATTTTGAAGTAGTTGGTCACAGAAATGAAAGGGGAGTTATTTTGGTTGAGCTTTCGTCACTGGCTGAGCAGCGTCCTTGTGTGGGCTCTGACTCCTGTTTCACCTCTTTCACTTCCCCGTCTGCCAGATAAAAACTGATTCACCGTGAAATAACCCGAACCTCCAGCCCTCCCTCCCCCCGACGCTGCCGCAGCAACCACGCATGCTCTCCACAGCAGCCGCTTCCCATCACATCCAGCCTGCTGCTCTTTCCCGGGAACTTCAGGAAGGTGTCAGTCTGACATCAGCTGACAGGAAGCAGCTACAACAACAACAACAGAAAGCCTCCAGGGAACATGGGAGCGGATTCTCTAAACAAAAACAGCTTCAGGGTTCCAGATAAGCTGGAATCCCTGAACACCAACGGAACTGAAAGAGCTTCAGTTGGAAAAAGACACGCTCATGTTTTAACGATTTAACCAGAACCAGAGCGTTCACGATGAAATATCTGAACGTACAAGAAGATAAATGAAACCAAACAGGTCATTTTAAAGCACAAAGCTCTGGTGTGTCGCTGAAGACGAACAGGACTCAGCGTTAAAGTGACTCTTTGTATGAAATGACTACAGTTTTTGCAGCAAAGAGCTAAAAGAGCTAAAATCTAAGAGCCGGTTCTGACTGCTGTGTCACTGTCATGTTTTGATCTGTGATTCAAATGTGTGACCTTGAAAAATTTATCAAAGTTCACTCCACTTTTAAACGTACTTTTGGAGGACACCAATATGGCTTCACTATAAATAATAATAATTTTTTTAAAAAGAAAAAAAACAGAAATTACAAATTAAGCACATAAATTTAAAATTCATTACATTTTTTAATGAAAAG